ATGCTGTGTCTGCTTAATTGACTAAAATGTAAGTGTACAATGGATCGATTGAGCATGATATTTGGTAATTAAAGCAACATTAGGCCAAGCTCTATGTACATTCACAAACATGGCGTTAGTTGTTCTCATTACTCAGCAATTTGCAACAAACACATGAGGAGTTCCATTAGTGCTATAGCCGTTTACGAAGAACCATTTGAACATCGAAATCTTGTTACGTAACCTTTGTATTTAGCTACATATGTATCGACATAACATGACAATACTAGTGTAGAACTGGAAAATTGGGGGAGCTTCCTTTTCAGTCAGAAATGAAAATAGTTCCCTTTTAAGAGCACAAGTCTGTTGAATTTATAATGTCATAGATTCAAGTGCCATGAGTCATTGAGGTTTAATTCAGTGAGTGGATTGAGATATTTCTGAATCACGAAATTTGGAATTCAAATAACCGTACTTTAAATTGTGTACTTGTCGGCCTAAATAAATCAAATTCATGAAAAAAGTCAACTTTGTTTATCATAGAAGCAGAGTAAAACTATACATCAAAAATTTCTGGGCAATATTGATCTAGCTCCATGGTAGTCCACTGTTATTGCGTTCACATTGAAAACCGGAACATCAGATACCTTTTACAGAAGAATCATCTAGGTTGCACCCCACCTAATGGCTCCAACATATAATCCAAGGGCACACCTTAATTACTAGAATATTGCCTGTACCACACGACAAAAACATCTGCCTATTCGAAGGTGATTATATTGGGCAGGATGCGAGGGAGAAAGATTCCTGGAGAAGATGAGGAATCACTGGTCATTAACATGCGGTAAATGCTTTGAAATACCAGCTCTGGCCTTCGAGTCCCATCGATGAGGATGCCCAGACGATTCATCACTGACAGTCACAAAAAGTACGGAGGGAAATGGAGTGCCCTGTTATTGTGTTCTTTAAGGTTACCAGATTAATGTGGATTAGTTTGAGATCCGTTACGCATTGTGTACTGGGGTTGTGTGTATATGATAATATATAGATGACAGGATGAGCTTATGTGCATAAAATAGTTTTAATAAAACATTAGAGGGCATGATATGGCTCAACAGACAATCTCCAGCGCATACGTAAATCTGTGATAGGTCGGAGTGCGCATCTATCAAGATCTATCGTCTAGACCTCTCAACCAGGTAGCCAACATTATGAATCTTGAAACAAACATCTTTGGGTTTAAGTGAAAGGAAATGAGTCAAACTGGGACATGGGTAAAAATGGCATAACTGAAGAGAAATCTCAAAACATTATACGTTTGTCCAAACTGTAAACATGAACGAGGTTGGCGGCGAAGTTTTCGATAGTTATGCCGATAAGATTTATTTGACATATAAAAACGTAGTTAACTGGTGAAAAGAGGTAAAACGGTTTTACTTTAGCCTTATCCTGTATTTAAGACCCAGAATATTCTTTCAAATTTTACTAACCAGTATGTGAGGAAAGCCTGTTCCCAAGACAAGTATATATATGGTTAATTCCAGAAATTAGGGGTCCAAAAATGTGACATTTTCGTGTTCATGTTATAGCTGACCTTTGTTATTTAACACGAAAATATCACGGGAATTGTTTTGAAACTATTACTTTTTGTTTGGCAGGTAATTTGCCTTAATTCATCACTCTTAGAAATTAGAAAATGTGTTCTAACCTTATAAAATCACATGTCAGATGTGACAGGGACACGAAAAAAATTGACCCCCAATTTCTGGAATTACCCTTAATACATGTACATATATATTTTAATTCAAGATTCATTCAACCGCTACGTTTGCAAGGCTAAACCATCGGCACAGCAATGTGACGTGACAAACAAATCGATGCCACAACAAAGAACACTGTAATATAAAGCCATGCCCATTGAGATCGATAACATTCGTGGAGGTAATAAAGATCCACAGCATAATAGTAACATAAGAATTTTTCCACAGTCTCCAACAATGATTCTGTAATAATAGTAATTTACTTCGTAGAAAGATGTCAGAGGCCTGGGTAGAGGGAACTGCTCTGCAGACATTTTTAGATCATTTTAAAACATACATATACCCCCTCAAAGTATCAACCCAAATTTCCCTCTCAGAGGAAACGAATTTCTTTGAGAAAATTCACCCGAAGGAGGTAGAGAAAAAATACAGATACCACATGTATGCCATGCCATATAAAGTGGAAGGGTTGGGAAAAATTTCGAAATCTACATTTAATGTCAAATAGATTAGAACTGGTCAAAATTCTACGATAAATATTCTGATCAAAATGCCAGGATTAGTGATGGAAATGTCACGAAACGCCAACTGCGTAAATGTTACCAGAGATGGCAGAAACGCGAAAATGTTACAAAAATATTAAAATGTCATACATAAAAGCCCAAATGTAAAAAGAAAAATAAGGATAATGAATATGTCTGCATAGTTCTGAGACAGTTAAGAAAATAGGGAAATAACAACACTTTTCTGAAACAAAATACCTGCAGTCACAGATATGGCTGAAGAGTTCATTGACACCTAACTTACAGCAAAATTAGTGCGTGGAGACAATCAGATGAGAACTTGACCAGTCTAACTGAGAACTCGTGTCTAAGTCATATGTTTTGATATTACGCGTCCACTCAACACGAGGGGGGCCTTGTCGAAATGTACCATGCAGCTTGTAATTTCAAAAGTTACTAAAAATGCGGATGCTGACAGTATCGCTTACTATCTTTAAGATGGATGTGAGGCAATTGAGATGACCGTTCTCTTTTTCTGTTCAAGTGCAAGTACTTAATCCACTTCAAGTTGGTTAGAGGGTAGAAAATTTACAAATGCGAAAACATTTCACAGTCATCATGAACCACATCCGGACTCCTGCAGTAGTGGTAGAATGCAACGTGTGTGACGTCGAACAGCTGAAACAGACCAATATCTCACATTGCAATAATAGGAACATGTCGATGTCATGCCGTTGACACGATGGCGCCAAAACTGCAGACAGTGTAATGGAGTATTAAACTGAGCATTTGGAGTAAACACGTTTCAAAAACAGCTGTTTAGCTTTGTCAGTGACACCAGACTGACCTAAGTTATTCTAAACTGTAATCAGATCAAAACCAGTCAAAGGTCTACAAGGTTAATCACATTGGGCCCAGTAATTTCAACTTAAGTTGACAAAGGTAGGGCTTCATTTAAATTGTTGAATGGTCAAAGACCTCGCGTACACAAAAAAAAATAAAAATTACAACTCAGACTTGGCCTTGGGAATTTGACTCTGAAAATAACATCCATGTAGATTACGCGATGACTCCGACACCTTGCAGGTGGAAATGCCTGGCACCTAATTTGTCCAGTGATATCAGTTTCACGTACGAAAACAATCACAACAAATAATGTTATCTCCCGTTCCTATTAGGTGCCATCTCCACACACAACGTCATCGCCAGACGCTCACCGTTTGTCTCCAGAAAATGGTGAACAGTTAAATCTTAACATTGTTTCGGTCTCAAAGGATCGGCGAACACCTCGCTCAAAAAAGAGACGTGCATGTGTGGCTTACTCCCTTTTTTCTGACGACTCCATCATTATTTCACGTACCTGTCCTGACTTAATGGGCAAAGTCGAGGCAGGAAAGTACTCTCCTCGAGTGACCGGCGAGCACCTTTAATACCCCGTCAAAGAGAAGGACTTGACACACTAGTCTGTAATCATGGCTTTCTCCTTGGAGAATCTTGCCCAGAAGTCTTCCACGTCATACATCTCCCGCCCCTGCATGCTCGTGCCGTAGACAAGACCTGTCGCCGACGGCGTGGAGGATAAGTTCATCGACTTCCGACTAATTCACACCATGTGATTTAATTGCCTTTATTAGGTCGGGTTACTTGCAAGTGATGACAACGACAAAGTGCAGTGGACATGTTTCTTTTAAAGTGACAAAACTTTTGTACAAAGTGTACAATATCTTATATTGATTAATTTTCCTCGCCAAAGCAGGACAGACGGATGCATAACAAAGTAGTAAATTTGCATGCCCTTGTGAGTTCAATGTTTGTTACATCTTGTACATATGAGATTATGTATATGTATATTATGTATATGATTTTATGTATACTTTGGCAGCCAGGCTACCGTTTTGCTTGTGCTAAAGCAAGTCTCCTGTTATAATTTTTCCCTGACTAATACTCATCTTGTTTATTTCTCCTCCATCTTCCCTTAAAATTGACGCGTCACGTCATGACGTGACATTATCCTAAGTGTCGACTACAATAAGCAATACTTGTGTGATATTTGTGTTAAGAATTCTATCATCTAATATGTTTTCATTTTGCAACAAAAAGTTAATTTTAATAACCGATGAACAAAAACAAAATCGACTAAAAACATCTTGATGTTTAAAAATTGACAGCAGGCGATTCTACAATACAATACTTTTTAACGGTCTTACTTCTAACGTTAGAAATCATTCTCTTTGAAACATCGACGGTAACAATGATCAGATGTTTGAAAAGTCCGTGGGTTACATAAATTACATACATTTGGGATTGCACCCGCTAAGATTAATTTTTTAAAGTTCTTACGTGGAAACTCTTAAAAATGATTGAGCTTGGTCTAAATAACTCTACCTGCTCGCTAAATCAAACTATAGGCCTAAGCAGCAATCACTGCCGGAATCCATCCAAACATTTCCTACATAAAGCAAGTACAAGTTTTGCGACAATATAATTCGTTGCTAGTGATACCATTTATAAACCACCTGTCTTTTGAAAATGGCATTATATTTTCACCCGTAAAACATGGCATTATGAGATGATTTTTTTCAATCCTGAAATACTGAGAACTTGAACTTCCTGACAGCTTTTAATGGGTGCGTTTGACCAGCTCTCTTCATTATCTTAACTGAATTTGTATAACGTCTATTAAACTTTTATTGCACAGTTCACCTTTACTTGAAATAAATCATTTCATTGAAAAAAACATATTTTGATATTCTTTCAGGTCCGCAATACTGGGGCAAATCGCACTCAGCATGGCTTATGTGTTCAGAAGGAAAGCTACAATCTCCTATAGACTTGAGTGCAGAAAGACTCCTATACGATCCGGATTTACAGAGGTTTGAGGTTGAGGCACCTCTGCGGGTAAGACAAAAAACATCCTGATAAGTATCGCGGTCCACAACTCTTGTCGTGGCATAAGAGCCATGGTGGGATAAACTGTATCAAAGTTTGAGGTACAACTATGAATTTCACATCGAAGAAGCCTTTGGTAAAATATGCACTTAAAATGAAGCAATGTTTTAAGAGATAATTTTTAAATCTGCGTATTAATCCCATTGCAATTTTATAGCTGTTAGATGCAAAAAAAAAAAGCAAAGTCAGATTTTTCACGGAGCCTTGGGAATTTGGCAAGCATGAACATCTGCTCGATTGAGGAAGGTAGGGGCGTTAAAAGTAAAAATTAGTGGCCAATAAGTCACAGGATTTGACATTATAACGGCATCATGATTGCAGATTGAGTAGTTTAGTAACGGATATAAATTGTACATTAATTCATCCTAAGGAACAGGAAACCTGCGGCGCGCCCTGTCGCGACATATGTCGGCGTCTTTGAACTGTTCAAGTCCACAGAAATCCTTCCCTGCAAGACACACGTTTATTTTCCCTCCAAGTTCCCAAGTAGCCCCCGGCTGTTGAGAAATATATGATTCAAATTGGTCACGTAGGTTTCAATCTTGATTGACTTATGTTCCAAAAGTTCGCTTCCTTTTCAGATGTCATTTGGCCCAAAGCGTAATCTCTGTTCTTCCCGGCGCGCCTCACTTCTGAATTTGAGTCGATATTTCAAGCTAGATATTTTGTTAAGTTTGTGACTCAAGAGAACCTTAAACAAATCGTGGTAGGAGTGGCGTAATCGCTCGAGGCCGTTCCCCCTCCCCCGGCTCAAAAATTTAGAGACAGAAAAATGGTGATAGTCCGCCTTGGTAATTACACGGAAGAGACGAGTTCTTATTACAGCTAAGCGATTTGCCAAATGTCAGTAGCGCTTCGAATCAAACCTAACCTCTACATTCAAGTCGTTAAATTTGAAATCGGGAACAAAGGCTGATAAAAATCTACAAAAGAATGAATAGTTTGATTTTTTTAATGCCCTCCATTTATTTTGACCGATGTTATATTCCAGACATCAGGTGTAATTCAGAATACTGGACGGCGTGTGGTGTTCTCGTTGGACCGGTCGACTCCAGTGGTCCGCATTTACAGCGGCCCACTTAACTACAGATATAATCTACATGAGATTGAGCTGAAATTCGGCGATGATGACAGTCATGGATCAGAACACACAGTTAATGGAAAAGCTTTCCCAGTCGAGGTAAGCAACATCAACTTTTCTTTGAGTTTTGAAATAACGTTTAAAATACATGGTTGATCCAGAACGAAGAAAGAAAAGGTACGGTTAATCACCAAGCTCTGAATCTTCACTTCAGGTAAAAAGGATATATTGTAGGTGATCACATGACGTAACATGACGCAAACTTTGGAAGAGGTAACTTGATTACAAAAAAGGACACCATTCTTAATCTCGTGTGTGGTTTTAATTTAGTATGGGTTTTTTGGGGAGGGGGTGCTTTTTGTTCTTACTTGTTGGCGAGTTGTTGGGCTTGGCTTTCAGGATAACTTTTCCTTGGATCAGTTTTAAAAATCTGGTTTGGTTACAGACGGAAGGTGAACTTTTTAAAATTGTATTTAGTACAAAGTTGAAAACGAAGCTTAGAAGGTCGTGAAGAAAAGGAAGAGTAGGACTGTACAAATATTTGGGTTTACTCTGTCTGAGATTTATGAGCTCTATTGAACATTTAGCAGAGCATGCCCGTCGGAAGTTCTGACTTCGCTTGTCATCCCCATCTTTGGAGCCCATCTGCTTCGATTCCGGCATATGTTTCTGAGCAACACGTTATCCGCATGACAGATTTTGATATTTTGTCTGCCTGTCACTGACAGCTGTATCTCTCAGATAATCGCAACGACCCAGTTTGTCCCCATCTTCAGAAACAGTATTCCAGACATTCGCGTCTTTATTTGAGTATGCCATCAGTCTTTGTAAATCAATTTCGCTGCACCGAAGTGTCGTTGAGAAGCACTTTTAATTAACTCGGCTCTCTCACTGATAGCGCATCAACTTATTCAAGATGGCATCTCCAGCATCCGAAAAAAAAAATTGCCAGGGTTTGCACGTGGGAGACCCCATGTGTCAATCAACGTTATCTAAGATTTTCTGGTTCTCCACCGAGGGTTCATATTATTGATGTGAGCTGGGAACCAAGGAAAGAGATTCGTATTGCACGACATGCTCCTTCCGTACAAACAGAACCTTGCACGGTTTGATTAGGTTCAGGTTGGGACGGGAAAACCGCCGCAGAGATGAACATAATCTCGGCGAATTCCTACGAGAGATCGTGAGACGTGAGAAGTTAACAGAGAGGATGCGTGTGCTAAATGGTTGGTCGACGTGGCCGTGCATCTCAACTCGAATTAACCTATTTTTGTCAATGGGAACAAAGTACGTCAGCGTAAGGTGTCACGACCCGTTAGCGGAGACTGATACTAACCACAGAATTTCGAAAACAAACTTCTAAAACAACAACAAAAAACAGTTTGAATGGGAAAAAACAGACACGGATAACCGAAGTAAATGAAGTTTCTGCCTTGTTGTCTCCAATAAACCTATTTTCAAATGTTAATAAGCTACACCACAACAAGAAGAATCTAGAAAACCTGGAAATATGATCCTCTTTAACAACAATGCTTTTGACACTCAGGTCGGTGATTTGTGCAGAAGTTCATTGTAATATCTCAAATGAACGTAATAAGAAGGGGAGCGATTTTTTAAAACACGAGGTCATAATGAAGACACTTGATTATGCGACAAAAGATTCATTATTTACGATCTGTACTAGGCAGATGTGAGATGTTTAGTGAAACGCACCAGATTCTTTTGGGAAACATATATTCCATGTTTCAGAAGGAAACCATGGAATCTTACGAAGGCGTTTGAATTCATAAGGGAAATCTAAACACACGAAATGCAAACACCACGCGAAATGAAAAGAAAATATGAGAAAATGACTTTCATGATTTTGAAAAGCTCCACCGAACTAATCAAGAATTCAGCATCTGTTTTCGGATGCGCGGATATCTGGAAGCCGACACTCTCGGAAATTAGGTGGAAGGTAATTTCGGAGCGCCGAAGTACTTTGTAAATACGGCGGGCTCTGGAGAGGATGATGCTTGCGATATACAGTTCAAAGGAAAGCGGGTCCGACCTGAATACTAAGAGATATCTAACAAACTTGCTTTATGGAATGCCTGCCGAAAAAGCTGGTGTTTCACGGCTTAATATTACAGGGGTCATTTTTGTGACGCTCTACTTATATCATTACACTTTTCTCTATGCAACTAGAAAACTTAAGTATGGTGCGACCTTTAGGACAAACGTGATTTGTTTTGAACAAAACCGCAGACTGATTTTTGAAAGTAAATAACGAAAATCCATCATTTAAATTTACCTTCATTGACATGACGTGGGACTGAGTTTCTTTAATACAATACTGACAATGCCTACGCAGTTTACAATGTCAATTTGTTCAAATGCCCGACTAGTTAGCAAATATCACAGAGCTCCTTTGATTTGAAGCAAATACTGATGGCGTGGTTGTCAGCGACTGATATCGGAAAATTTGTTTTGCTTTTACGTATATGTAATTAAACGATAGAATTAGCAGAGGTAGAATCTACATAATCTACATAATCAAGCTTTTTCATATATTTAAGCATCAAGCCACTGGAGATTTCCGTCCATAATGTACTGTCATCCCTGACAAACACTTTACATTGACTGAAATTCACACAGTAATGATTTTACCTCAAGCATGCAAGTTTTCTCAATGTGCTTTCAAAATCAATTCTGTATATTTTTCCTTTATAGGTTCAACTTACGTTTTATAATGAGCGGTATGGTTCTTACGACAAGGCGGAGGAATCAGTACAAGGGCTTGTCAAGTTGGGAATTTTCGTTTTAGTAAGTACACTTGAATTTGTAAAGTCACCTATCTTAGACCGAACTTTTAGACATGGATTGTTCTGAAGTGACCGTGCTTTTTTATAACTATTTATAGCGAATAGATCTAAGGAAACGAGCAACATGCGTTACAAGTTACAGTAGCCGCCAACATATCTGCTTTATTGGCATGAACTATACGGTGCGACAATTGTACAGCTGCATCCTTCACAACAGACGGCCTCATGTCAATATTTGTCACAAAACAGTGCCATCATTTTAACAGTCTATTAAATCACATCAAAATTATTTTCCACGATTTTTAAAGAAATGAGAGATGTTTTTGTATTTCTTACTGTACTGTTTTTACTGTATTTTAATATACCGAACAAGTCTAGATTTAAAAATAATTCTTGCAACACAATTTTTAAAAAATACTGCCTGTGACAATTCACGAGGGAACTATTTTGAGAGTAAGGCATCTACTCGTGTTTTAGGGTAGACATGGGAAGGAGAGTGTTAACATGTAAAATATATTTCCCCTCCAAATTCACACGGAGAACTTGTGAAAATCCGGATATACTGCCTCTGCACCTACAAAATTCAATTAAGACACCTGAGGCACATTTTCCGATTTTTAAAATTGGATTTCGATGTTGATTAGATATAAGTCCATATAGAAGCTGCATATCAGTGCTAAGATCCGGATCAAAATATGAAGCGTCGTGGAATCAGTTCAGTAAAGTGCACTCGACTGACCGGTCCATGCAACGATAAAATGTCAAATTCATAAATGCCATGCATTTTGCTGAAGTGCTTTTTCCCACTGCAGATGCAATTTTTAATGTTGTGTACGAAATCGATGGCAGGTATGCCTCAGGTGAAATTTAGACTCGGTAAATGAATCGTCCTGAAAACCCCATGGAATAAAGGTTAAATTTGTTGAACGCATTATTGTTCTCAAAAGGGTTGATGATGCAGATACTAATTCAAGGTATTCTATAACGTCAAGCACAAAACTACAATGGTATTTTCTTAAAAATAGCTAAGACTGTGAGCGAAGTCCTTTACGTTTATTCCCAATTCAATAGCAGTACTGCTGAGAGACTCCCAAGACGCGTTGAAAGGTTAGCAGTTGTTGTAAATTATTTCTCGAGCCACATCCAGGGTGAAGCGATAATCCCTGGGTGTCATGCGTTTGAAAATAATCTCTCTTCAGTCAATGGGTTCTAGATCCCGTTACTGCCGAAAGGGAAACATGATCCCAATTGCGAACAATCTACCGGACGAATTATGACATTTTACCATCTCCTCAATTTCAGCGTACTGTTACTGGGAACGTACCGCGCGATCTATTGACCGGTGTCGCAAGATTGCGGAATGCCTGTACTTTTCCCGTAGAGAATTTGTCCGCATTATGGCCGCCATCAATTTGGAAAGATTTGTTCAAAGTTCTTAATGTGAATCCCTTTTGCAATAAATCACAAATTGAAGCACCTCACAAATTCACCTTTCAAGTACAGATTTCATGCAAAGAAATTCCAAGGGAATAATTAATGGTGAAGTGAAAACACTGGTCAGTGAAGGGTTAATGTACTTGTGATCTCTAGGCTGAGGCAAAGACTTTCCTAAACAAAATCAATGCATTGAACCGGACACAATTAATGCTGGGCTATCTTGACAAAAGCGAGAGTGGTCAGAGCGGTCAATATGTGTTAAGTCTGGCACTCAATTAGAGGACTTGTGGGCGAAAATAATAAACGTTGCATGTTGCAGCTTTAATGAACACTAAAATACCAATACCCTGAATAATTATTATTCGAGGACTGTACACGAATATTGTTTGAAGGGGTGATTGAAATAAAGGACATCGCGGCATGAGAAGAGAGGTGAATTTAACACATTTGATTTCAAAGTCGAATGGAAGATCAAATGAAAAGCAGTGTTGCCGACAGTTGGATGGGGCTAGTCGTACATTCCACTTCCACTTCTGTGTTAAACATGATACAAGCCGAGAATTGTTTATATGAAAAAAAAGAACTTAGGAAACACAAATGAAATCTCTAGAATCTGCTTAGCTAAGCTAACTTTTATGTGCTTAATAAATTTAGTGTTGTAGCTGGTCTGTGTTCACAACATTTATACGGTTTAGGTTGTGAGAAGTTATTCCAACATTCACACATATTAATGACAAAAGGATGTTGGTAGTTTAAAAAAAACATTATTGAGCTTCTGTCTTAAATGCAGAACTTTTTACCATTTCAATTCGCTACTTTGTACAAACGAGTTAAAGGCCACCATGCTGCATATCCGTAGGATCTGGAGATCAAACCGAATACGGCTACTGCACGTGACGCATGAATGGATGTGTAACTCTGAAGGTACAGTTACCACCATCTTAATTGACAAGGAGATTCATGTAACAAATGTTGGGGTTGTAAATTGTGCATGGATGGATGGATCCAGCCGACAAGCTCAGTTTAAGTTTGCACTTTGTGCATGAAATCATAGCAAAGCAAATGAAAACACTGCCTCACAGTTCTTTACCCAGGTGATCTGTCTGCCCACTGGGCCATGCAGTGTCATCCTCATCTTATGATGCAGATGCACGTATTGACTAGTTACAAGGGTGTGAAATGAGGAAAGGTTACACGACCAGAATCAATTAACGGGCATTCACGCGAGATATTATATAGGATGTTCCAGCAAATGCCATCCTCTTCGCTCCAGTGACTCCTTGAAGGAGGCAGCATTCACGACAATCTCCTTGAAGGTGCGTTTGGAAACTGAAGGTCACGTCTCGATTGCACTGACGATGGCAGATGATGCACTCCAGCAGACTTGGAGTATTTACTGAAAATAAATCTGATGTGTTTACTGAGCAGAATCTTCACAACGGTGCTTGAGCAAGGAAGATGCCCACCGTCTTCAAGTGTTTCTTGAATTCCACTTTCTCGCCTTGACATTTCTGTGTTTTGTTGTCTTCAGTCGAAGACTGGGGGAAAGGCATCCACGTTTAAGGACCATCTTGAGGGAGTGACGTAGAGTATCACGGCCGTATCTGGGTCAAGCACGCTTCGTCGTGTAAACATCCAAGACATGGACGCAGTCAAATTAGGAGGGCGAAGAGTCATGGAGGCATGTCATGAAGGAACAAACGTGCTTTTTTAATGAGAAACGAGTGCAGTGAAATGTATATATGGGCACATACTGTATATTCACTGACGCATTGGTTCATCTGAAAATGCGGCAGAGGCTTGGAATTTCACTTATACATGGGACATTATCGTGTATGGTGTATGTTGATTTCGTGATAATCGGAATAGGACGCCCAAATGCCAGAATTAACACGATAAATGGGGTCCGCTTTTTGTCCCCATGAAAAACATAATAAAGAGAGACCGAAGATGAACTAGCTGGAAAACGAACATTCTGACAAAACGGTCGACCGTGCCGTCAAATGCATGGTTTCATGACGTCTGTTTCACCTCACTTTCCCTCGGCCAAGCACCTTGTACAAACAGAGGGGAAACTAATCCGTTAATGGGACACAGTGCTTAAAAACAAAGCCAGAAACACTCCATTGACAGGGAATGTTCGATAAGTGCTTTTTAAAATTCAATTAGCTGTAACACCAATCAATAATTATTCTTACATAACATCAAGAAGAGGGAATGTATCAGTTACCATCTTCGGTGTTTACATAGGAGCACTGCGTCTATCATTACAAGCCCAATTGCGCAGTTTGGACGTAAACACATTAAAAAAAATCATGCAGACTTTTTTTCTTAAAGTGTGGCCAAGACGAAGAAATAAGAGCAAAGAAAATGATTATATCGATAAGCAACTAAAATAAAACTCCTGTGCTTTTACCACGGTGACAAATTTACTCAGCAGTTCGTGGCTGTTTCTACCTGATCCTAGCTTAGCACACATATCATTCGTAATACAAATTTGTTTGGCAAAGCAACTGATAACATGGATGGAATTCTTTCGGAACAGTTTCAAAGGCTGGGTGGGTTCACTTCAAACAGGTCACATGCCTGAAGCTGTGATGGATGGGAATCATTTAGATTAGAAACTTTCGAGAAGAACCCTTTACCGACAACAAGACCCTGACAGCTCCTTAACTTTGACTTTGTGACCAGGGATTTATTACCAAATGTTCATTTTCTTCACAGTTTGAAACGATTTCCGCGACCATGACAACCACTTGGCATTTTTCAATCCTCCAACCCCGTCCTCCAACGCCCCCCCCCCGTAAGTTATAAAGTTCAGGACGAGCAAACGCTGTATGTTGTTCTTTGCGAACAGGCAGCGACGATTTACGGTCCACTAATTGGGCCCGTGTCGGTGAAGCGAGGCGAGTGTCGTGGGGATCGCATGGAATTCCTATTACCTCCGATGAGAATTTACTGTCTCCCATCACTAGGGACCGCATCTTACATTATCAGCAAAATGGCGCATGCGTCGCTGTCTTAATTCCTCCACCTTGAGTTAATAGTGGCGAAGGCCCAGCACCAGCTGCGTTATTGGCTGCTTATCTGAATGAAACAGCAGTATTCCTTGGAGCACTGACCTCGAATTTCCCGAGGAATTTCCATTACCAAATTGCAATCCTCGACCAATAAATGCCAATAAACAAATATAAATTGAGTTGCGTGTTAGAAATATCAATGTAGCTACAGCCGTCAAATCCATCAAAATGCTATTTCTTTACCAAATAGAGACTTCTGTTGGTATGCAGTCAACGTCATGTCTAACCAGGGCTCTTCAGCGCTTTTTTAGGACAGAGAGCGCGATTCGTCTGCTATTCCTAATTACGGCAATCGATCGTTATGGGTATCTTTATCATCCACAAATGACAGAGCATGCATGAAGGAACTCGGCATGGAGGTCGAAGGCTCAAGGACCAGCCTTCAGAGATGGGTCTGGCAATAATTAAGATATATTGAGCAAAACTATGCTGGAATATTGTCATATTTTGAGGAAAGTTTAAAAACAAAGTGGTACGAAAAGAATTACATACTTTTGTGTTTGTGAGTCGAGTAGAAAGCGAATTAAGAAGAAGCATGGTGGTTGGACGGTTTAGTTTGAAATTATTAGTGCGGGTGAATGTTAATTAAAGACCAATTCACTCAGCTATGAGGCAAACAAAAGACTGTGTAAACTCAATTGATGGGAACACTACAATGTCTGAACAATTTCTGCTAACAAGATAACTATTTTTGTTTTCTTGTTGCAGCCTTGGAATGAAACAAGTCGAGGTCTCAGCAAATTAACAGCAATTGACGTAGTAAAAGATATCGTTTATCGAGGTAGGTTTTTGGTCTTGATAGTGCAGATTTAACCTCTCTCGGTTTCTGACAAATATTTCGAAATAAAATTTATTCCATCTTCATAAATCATCACACGATATTATCGCCTTTTCTAGGAAAACATTCAGCAGGATTGGACGATTAGAATAAAATTAGGATGCTTATTTCAGGAAATGGATTTTCAGTCACTGCACTAGACTGCGTAACATCATAAGCCCCAATCATGATAAAATTACACCTCTGTGGAGCAAAGAAAGTTGTTTTTTTACCGTTACTTTGGTGATGTTTCGATCTGCATCCGACCAGGTGGATTTTTTTTTCTTTGCTCTGCCAGAGCAATGTTCCACCGTTTATCCGTTACGGCTACAAATTAACTTGAACTAGGATAAGATGAAGAAATTGCAGCATAAAAAGTTCGATGTAATGGGAGATGATCACTAGTAACAAGGTGAATGGTTCAGAAGCCCCGATATGGGTACAAGGAGTAAGATACTATATTGATGAAGCGTGAAGTAGAAATCGCCGCCTGTTACGTGACGTGAGAGCTAAGGATTACAGCAAGAAATTACGATTAAGGAACAAGAAGAAAAACGCAGAAAAACATCAGTTTGACTAATTTCCCACATAATCAAGGGCTGTGGCACGTCTCACATTTCCCCCAGTTCCGCACCGTCTTATACAGAGTGGAAACGAAAATGGAGTGACGACGAAAATGGCACCCTGTTAGTATTTATCTTTCCAGGATAGATTTCATACCTAAGCATTGGTTAACCACGCAGACGAGTTGCATTTTAAATTTAGGTGTTGCAATAAGAATCAACAAGTACTTGGCATTGTGCACTGACAAATAAGACACCAAAGCACAACGCATATTTTTATGTACTGAACTTGAATAGATGTAAGTTGAAATTTCATTATTTTCAACAAGATCCCAAATCAATTTAGTCTAACCACAATTTCATGTGTTCTGTTTACACGAAAGGAAATACATCCAACACAGACCGTACGTAATCCGTGAAAGCTCTTCAATTAAAGTATCGTTTTAAGACTTTTAAGTCTAAATAATATACAAGCTGCCGGAGGGACCACAAACTTAAGGGTATCAAGGCTCAAACCACGCATAACAGATCTGCAGCAACTGGAGCATTACATTTTCGTCAATCCTTATGGGCCGAAGCGAGCATGTGATTACAAATGTGTCCTCGATCCCGATGAAGCCATTCCTTGTACACGGTAAAAGAGATTAGCTTACAAGCTGTAAAATATTGAGTCTCCAGGTGAGATGGAAATTAAGACGGAGTGAAGATATCCTGCTCGAAGGTTTGAAGATGTTCGCATAGATTGTTTACATTTCCTGAAGCATTTGATTAACAAGTCAAGGTTAGGGAGTGCACCGATGTGAGACATTTTATAGGCTTTATCATATAAAGCAGGATCTGCCTGTTTACGTCGCTAATCGTTGAAATGCTATTGAGGTTTGAAACCTTATTATTTCCAGGTTTTTGAATTATAGCAAAGAGTAGTTTGAGATAAATTCAAACAAAATAACGTTAATTTACACAAAAAGAAGAAACTTAAATATGAAAATTACATTCGACACACAGTTTTATGTGAAGTCATTCACAAGAAATTGTGGGTGAAACAATGATCTTGCCACAGTTTGTGTTTCCGTCACGTCAATCCAGCCCGTGTAGGACAAAAAAAATTGCCGGAAGAGAAGTGAGATCACAAGAGGGCGCTCAACGAAACAAACTTCATCACCTTGTACTTTGATCCAGTAGTCGTGGAATTATTTCGTATTACATGTATTGAATCGACACCAAAGGTTTACCAGTTGCCATGGCGAAGCAATTGGCTTGTAACTTGAAGTATTCATAGGCAACGGCCCAATTAAGACGAGAGCCTCACCAGTCAATCACCAAAACGTTTTCCGTCTGTGGTGTATATTTGTTATCAAACCGTGAGAAAACACGCTGAAAGTTTTGTGTAATATTTGTTTCTTAAAAAGCTGATTTCAGAATGAAAAACTCGAACATTACAATAGGGACCCGTTGTTTTTCGTGTACAAAGTGGAAAAAAAGCTGCGACCAATCATTAATTAATTCTACTTGCGGTATAAACATGACAGAGCATGACTTTTATTTTTCCCGTAGGTGATGAGGTGAACGTAACAAATTTTAACGTAAAACAGCTACTTCCCAGGACATTTGAATATTTGACCTACGAGGGCTCCTTGACGATACCTGGATGCTTTGAGACAGTTACGTGGATTATAATGAATAAACCTTTACGTATCAGCAGATATCAGGTGAGGCCTCTACATCCAAAAGGTACGACTTGAAGTGATACTGTAAACAAATTGATGACACTTTCACTCCGGCACTTCAGTCATCATTTTTGATTGGTGCTCAACCTAAAATCTCGGGACAATCCGACATAAATATAGTACCACTATTAAAAATTATTAAGAAGCGGGACTATAAATTCAGAGAGCGTTGTGCTCAGTAAACTCACATACTGTCACAGTTTCGATATTAGGGACTTGGATTTAAAAAAAATTAAAAACTGATTTTTTTTTTATAAAATACCAATGGCATTAAAACGTTTCATCAAACACATTGCAAAAGTACCTTTGATCATGAAAATTGACCACTCGGTTGCTAAGATATATTTGCTGAAATGTATGATTTTTTATGAGTTGGGGCAAGGCAAATTAATGCAATAAAAAACAGAAAGTGTGATACATGCGAACCGCTAGCTGGCGCGCATTACATGCTGACCACGGGCGGCGCCATTTTGAAAAACGTAAGTGTGACGTCACTTCAGTTTAAACCAGGCCCACTGCACATGTACAGCACGTATGGGTTGCGTGCATTGATCACCGTGTACATGGAACCGGAAGTTGACGCGCAACTTCAGCGATTGTCCAATGGGAACCTGCAAATCGTAGCGCGTCCGCCTTTGTGATGAAGTCACTTACGAACTGGACACACTGGATAGGCAGCTCAGCAGTTACTGCCTATAAGTGAATCGAAGTGACCGCGCGGCCATCTTAGGATATTCAATGCAATGGCCCTCAACTTCATTCCATTCACTAAAGTGCATTCATTGACGGCGCTAAAGCTGGAGACTTAATGCCACTGTATTGAATAGTGAAATATGGCCGCGCAGTCGCTTCAATTCGCTTCGGTCTGCTACATTTAAATGGGACAGCCCGACAACTTCAGAGATTTTTATTAGAGATTCAAAATCGCTAGCATGTAAAAACGGACATAATATTGCGTTATAATTGAAAACTTCCCTCGAAAAAGAAAACGAAAAAGGAACACAATATGTATTTAACAAAGTAAAAATTACACTCTGAACCAGCGAGCACTCTGGCAGAAAATGCATTTTTATGTCGTCCCATGTTCTGCGCATACTGTGAATAGCGTACGAATTTAACAATCAAGCAACGTACCCAGTGCATGGCTGATGACGTCCTAGTTTTTCAAGTTGCTATCAATGCCACAACAAAATTTCCTGTACAAGTTGTAGCGCTACAGAAACTTGAGAAACGCGAATTGCCCCACATTTAAAACAAAGAGGGATTAGGACACCACTTACAACGCTACCAGTTTTGCAGGTTTGTCCAAACCAGTAGACAACATTCTGAATTTCAGTTTCGTATAGTTCAACCAAAATTTAACCACCCTAAAAATAATCAGATAATTAATACAATTATTCATCTGACATTTTTATCCACAGAAGCCGTAGGAAGAGGTATAGTCCAAGGACTAATTAACCTCTAGGACTGAAAATACTCTGTGCTTTATATATTTGGAAGTATCTGAAAATACCTGTATTACAGAATACAAGGAAAGACATTTAAGAGCAAGATAAGGGACGGAGAGAACCCCCCCCGTCTTTTTGTTGGTCATTGTTAGATTGGAATCTCAGGAATTCTTTACAGACTTCTAGGAGTGTGTGTCAGGTTACAATGGTCTAGAGTGTGTATAGGGATTGGACATGTAAGGGGGGTAACCCTCCGTCCCATATCTTGCCTGGTATAAAGAAAGACTTACCGCTTATACCAGTGGTGCATCGTCCCGTCCGGCCCGGGTTGTTGACCTCCAAAACATGCAAAATGCCCGTTATAAAAATCCTAGCGAAATCCTTTCAGACACACACTATCTCCCGTTGTTTCCGGGCCTGTATAAATGCGCCACATGGAAAAAAAATACAGAAATCCTGCTCATGAGGTACCGGTTTGCTCGACGTTCAGATGTTGGTTTCTTTACACGTCGCGTATACTGTAGAATTCTGTCCAGTAGACAAGTAGGCCCACAGTTCGAAAGGTTGCTCTGTTTCGCCGTGGGGTAGCCTACAGGCCGACAATAAATCTCACTTGATATCTCCTTCAGTGCAAGTACATGAAAACACAGAAACTGCCTTATTTTTAAAATCTGATTTCGTCGTTGCTAGAGATAAAATCCATTCATTGCTGAGGAGAACACCACAAACATGTCGCCGTCTTTGAAGTACACGCGACAGCGCTGTTGGTATACTCCTTTGTTATGCAAATTGTCTCACCGCACGCGCATACTTTTTGGCAGTGGAATTTCCCGCACATTCAAGGTATCGTCTGCTCCATACGTTCAGCAGCTGGCAGATTTGTAGCCACCAATCGCGTATTGCGTTCTGCGAAAGAATTGCGATTATCCCGCCAATAGGAACTTTCGTAATACTGTACAAATTGAGCAGCCAGAAAAGCTGTCAAGTAAACTGATGGCAATAATTTTTTTTAAACTTTATCTTTCCGTAATCTTGCAAACAGACTAATGAATTCAACAATCAGTGTACGGTATCTGTTTTTGTTGTTTCAGCTAAATAGTTTGCGAGAGTTGGTTAGAGACTACAAGGACGACGAAACATTTCGGCCATTTCAGAATACTTTTCGACCGCTCCAGCCTCTTGGACGGAGAGCAATCAGAACAAACGTCGCCAAGAGAGTGGAGGACCCGGAGTTTGATAAGGCTTGCCCGAAATCAAGAAGACAGATCAAATATAAAGGTAAAACTATCACAGGTTTTAAAACAGAAATAGAATACATATAAATTGTTGCTTACAATGGATTACTCAGCTGAGCAACAAATTGTAGTAATATTTCTCTCTCCTTCTTCCAGTCAACACAACCCCTTGACCGAGGAATGCCGACCATTAGAAGAAAACACTCCATAACTTTAGGAGATGACTCCAGAAGTTCTATTCAGGAGTCGTCATGTATTAATTTCCTGATGGGATTTCAAGCTATTAATTTCCTTTTCTAAAGTTTTTATTTCTAAATAAATTTGATTACAGGGTGACTTAAGATATTACTTTATAGTTAAAGCTTGATTAAGTGGTTCAGGAAGGTGTAATTATGCGTTCAGTGACAAGTTACACGTTTACCTTGTGAAGATAAATTTGAGGTTCCATGTGAGTCTTACTCCAAGTTACTGGATGAAGCCATGTGTTTAGGTTTGATGACCACTTGATATAAAAAAATGTTAACTACGTATTTTTTTCAGATTTAAAGTGTGTTCATTTTAATTACGATAATTATTTTCCCTCTGTCTGCACTGGGTTTTAAATTAATCCTAAGAGTTTGTAAACATACTGATAAATCATACTGATAAATTGTCATTGAAAAACAGTTTGAAATCACTTTATATACATGTACACATAAATGTACATGTGTAAAAAAAATCCGAAATGGCATGATTGACAGAAAGTATCACGTGGGCGTTATGCATGAGTTAAAAAATTAAAGCTTTGTAAAACTGTGTGATGGCGAGTCAGGTATCTGAATGTCAGAAAATCTTCACATTTCTGTCGACAAGATTGTTTTCAACTCGACAGTCCGTCTTTTCTTAAGCATCTACTTTAATCTTTACCTTCCGTCCTTGTATCTTCTCCACCAACATCTGTACTCATTTCTCATCACTCTATCCATTCATCTGCGTCTAAACCACTTCTTCTTCATCCTCATCGTCTGCGTCTTGGGTCTTCATCCTCTTACATACCTGATTTCTCCATTATCTCCGCGGAGATTGCTAAGCTCAATTCTCCTGGTGACACGCAAACGGGAGGACAACGAGGTGGCGTGTTTCCTTTCATCGCATGGCCCAAGGTCATGACAGGAAGTTGGGGTGAGCTAGATTACCTATGGTGATACAGGTAGCCGGGGAGGATACCTTGCATATACGTAATGTGTACAGTAACATGTGATACACCTTGTAGTACTGCTCGCAGTGTTGAAAAAACATTGCAGCATGCATGAAATATCATGAGCTGCCCAACTGTTGCAGTTACTGGGCACATCAGTAGCGTTGGGAACACTTGTTTCACTTTCCAATATTGAAGGAGGCATAAGGGGAAGGTGGGCTGCACATGGTTGTCTTGGATGCAAAACCTCTCCATGGAGGGAACACCAAGAGGGAAGCATCCCCACCCAACCACACACACAACCACGCACCCGAACTGGTTTTCTACCAGTATGTGCAAGGGCACTTGAAAAGACAGGTTGCACAAGTAAGTCAAAACAGTCGCTTGGGAATGAATAATTCGGTGTATCGGGTATTGAGAAAAATTAGGTGTCTTTGGGTGTTCGCTTTTGGCCCAACATTCATCCCAGGATCCCTCTGCTGCACAACACTTGCGTTACAATTTAGGCTTATCTTCCTCAAGGCCGGTTCATCCTGCAGGCGAATACGAAAGCGAAGCGCATTCGACGTCATGAAAAAATCTCAGCGAAATTTTGATCGGGTTGAAATGTGTTCGACTTTTACGAATTTGCATGCGATTTTTTTATCTGACGTTTGTGTTCGCTTTCGCGCAAAATTTGAACCGACCTTTACACTGGTAGTAATTCTCATTAAATTAGAAATAGATCAGAGTCGCCTTAATCTGTTAAAATTGAAATTAAGTAACAACTAAGGTCTGATAACAACGGAGCAACATCTTTAAAGACCTGCCTGTAATTGCAACGTAATGAAATGTGTAGTGCAAATGTAACAGACATTCGGAACTAATAAAGAATTCAGTAAAGTATGCTAGTGATGATGACAATATTGGTATGATCCAAATACATGTACCTCCCTTTAATTTGTGGCCCTTTCAAAATGTCCCATTGGGTGAGACAAACTTTCAAATTATGTAGCTGTTCGTGACCCCTTCTCAGTTAATACCCTGGTTCTTCTTTAGTGTGGAACTGACCTTTGACCCAAAGAACCCACAACCCTGCGCAGATACAGTTACCCGTGTTATGTAGTTAACTTTTGTACAAAATGTAAAATAAAGATGAGTGATTTTATAGATCTTTAATTTAATCGTTTATGAGTTGGCCCTGAAACTTGCTTCTATCAATAATATGAGGGTTTCCTCTTGTCATACGTTTGCTTGACGATAGATATCCTGTATATTGAAAGAATAGAATACTTTTGTTTGCACGTTGTTAGCAATAAAACTTAATTTTGTCATACGATTTGATCAAGTTGGAGTAGAATATGTACTAAAACATAATTCTAATGTGTTATTATGTTTTCCTGTAATGGTTTAGAAAATAGAAACTTCTTTTCAGCTGAAAAAAAGTGAAATTCTTATATATTTCGTGTATATGTTCTGAGCGCAATAATTTTCTATGCATCAACAAGTGTTTTAAGAGTAGCGTTTTTTCTGTTCAGTTGTACACCAAATACACGCAAAGTTGATACTATAGACGGTATTTCATTTGGATAAAAATACATTTTCTTGGAAGCAGATTTTGTGGATTTTCCAATGGTTGTAAATCTTATATGTAAATCAGGTAACGAGCAAATGCTATTCTGGTTGGGCGAAGACTGCACAAAATATTTATGGATTGTTACATGTACCTAGAAATCAGACATTAGTATTCCACAAGGGGTATGACACTGGATAATTTAGTAATGAAAAATAAGTTCATTCAGGATAAATTTCGTCTCTCAACGTACCAGTCTCTTCAAACGGAATCAAGAGAAAAAGAAATATGCATAATTTGGGTAGGGAATTAATCTAGATAAAATTTACTATTGATTTCTAATTGAGACTAACGTATTTTGTGAAATTGATGTAATTTTACGGAATTACGACTCGCATCCAACATCAAGATGTTGGTATCAACAAAGATACAGAAAAGCGACATTTGCCTCCCTGTGGAATAAAGTTTGGAACTTTAATGTGTACAGTGTAATTACTGGCATGAATTTTGGAATTGATATCACTAAATTATCAATCATCTGTTGACAAGAAGATCGTTTGTGGTTATTTTCATTCCTTATATTAGAAAACTGATTAATAAACATACTCAAAAAGAAAGGAAAATTCACAGATAACATTCCAGGAAATACAAGCTTCAGTGAAGATATGTCGTTTCTTCTTGAGATGAATACAGTTTATTAACAATTCAGTTTCTACGGACGAAAGTCTACAATTCCAATGAAATCTTGGGCGTTTCATTTTAACTTTTGTCATTAATTTGGAAGTGGAATTATTAATAGAGAACTGTTTCAAATAGCTTACCCGTGGACGTTTTTCCACGGTCACTGTGACCCACTATCCTTAGAATAAGGCTGGGAAAACTACTTTTCATTTTGTTCCAGATATTCGTGCCAGTAACCTTCATTTTTGATTTTCAAATTGATTGTCCTGTGAAGGTTTTGTGAGTAAAATAACAGAAGAAAGGGTAAATCACAGTTCCAAATTTGGTAATGCTGAAAAGCCATAACTTCGGCAAAAGGTGCTCCTATGTGCATACTTTTTCCCTGTGGCCACATTATGGGTAGTGGGTCACATAAGAAACATCAGAACTTCACGATCAAAGGACAATGACCCCAAACTGTAAATATGTTCACATCCTTCCAATGTCCTAGATAATAATGCACTGCATAACCTTAACTGGAGATTCCCACAACTGTTTTGAATTGGTGGGTCTCTCACACTCAAAACAAATCTTGTCAAAAGTCTATGTACAAAAACCCCACGCAACTTTTTTTTTTAATTTACAAAGAAAAACAATTAAATAATTCGAACAAGAAAGCAAGTCCCCAAACTGTTTCATTAAGGTCTAGATTTGACTAACTCCCATGTCACTCTAACACAAGATTGAAGTCAAACTGTATAAAATGTTACCCTCCAAACATTGCTTTAATATTTTAAACTACATGGACGTAAATTATTGACAGGGTTTCAAGCTTTGTTAGGAGTTGAATGCTTTCACCAGTTCCCTTCCCAAACAACTTTGGAAAAAAGTATTTTCACTTCTTTGCTTCAGTAGACACATGCCTTTAAAACCCTTTCACATCAAATTTCTGTGGAACAAATTCTTTTCAGCATCTGTTTTTCCCAGTCAAATTCCTGTAATCCTTTTGTTTTCTAGCCAAAAACCCTTCTACGATATTTGACCTCTCACAAACAACCATCACAAGAATATAAATCCATTTTATCCCCTTCTTTGAGTAGACAGTCATTGGACATTTAAACACACCTTGACAGGGTATTTCAGAATCCAGAAGCAAGTAAATGGAGAAAAAACACTCAAGAACATGGCATACTGAACTACCGGAAGGAATATTCACTGAAAAGGACCCATAGTGCTATTCCTGCATGCACGACACTTGAGGTCACTGACCTCTGCACACAAGCACCCCTCAACATAAAGAGTCACAGGATGGGCAAGTCCGTGAATGCAACTTTGGTCTCCTAGGAAGGTCATCCTGCATAGAGTCATTAATGTATCACTCTTGGAACATAATCAAGAGCAAAGTACATGTATTCATAGGTAGAAATATGTGCAAACCGTAACAGAGAAGGGATACCAACTCCATACACTGGCACATAAATATACATGCCATAAATATATATGTACTTGCTCAGACAGACACTGAAAAGTAAAGTACTTCTTAATCACAGTGACAAAAATTGTTGGTGTATAGCAAATTCCTGATTGAACAATGTCAACTTTTGACACTGGTTTCTGCAGCATTGTTTTTTCTATACAATTCATGTCAAAAGTACAAAACGGCAGCTAGTTTTCTTTCTCATCTACAGTCAAGACAAATTTAAGTACACTCTGTTACTTACTGGTAAGTTCAAGATACATATCCATTCCAATTCAAATGGTACTGCCACTTTTTCCAAAGTAATTTTATTTTAAGTAATTTTAATTTATACCATTGAAATTTGCTTCTATCTGTCAATGGAGGTTGTGTCCCTCCTCCATGATCTGTCCAAAACGTTTTCAATATCCACAAAGAGGGCGCTCTTCAACATGAACAAGCAAAAGGAGACAGAGGTCTTCATGTTTACATCCCATCAAAAATATGGATGCATCTGTAAAGATCTTTAAAAAAATCCACATATTTTCTAAATATATAGAGATGTATAATTGGCTACTTGGAAGTTAGTTGCAAGAGGTTTACATGAATTTGTATGTAGAGGATTGCATTTAAGAAGAAAAATGTAAAAAATTCAAATACTTTTACTTGAGGCCAGGCCACCTGACCTCATCCTACTTTAAAATGACAAGTGTACCTATCTGGTAGCAGATTTTCAATGAAATATTCTTCACTTATTACATTTCAGTGAAACATGTTAATGGCTCCCTTTCAGTCCGTGAACACGTGCGAAACTATTGGACACATAGATTGTTTTGATTAGCTTCACTGAAAATAGCTTTTACACTTTGTATGGACTCAATAGCCCCATACAAATCTAACAAAATAATTACACCAAAGCATGGTTCTAGTTGGGACAGACTGGGGTGATTGTAAAGCTTGTAGGAAAATTGCAGTTTCCTATTCTTGTGAAAGAAGAAACCCATAGCACTGCACCTCTTCATGTGCACGCTGCATTCCTAACATTTACTTCCATGGGATAATTCTTCTGTCTTCAAGGTATCCTGTGCTGCTTCTGTTTGCGAGGAGGTTCTGCAAAGGAAGATACAAGGGAAAATCTTCAGAACAAGATTTTTTCATGTAGTTTCAAGCAAAAAATGAAAATTAAACAACGGTCAGACATGCTGGCTGCACACAACTTAAAACACACTATAGACCAAGTTATTCTGCAATACATGTATAATGCAACTGCAATTGCTATTGTCTTGTTGCTGCTGGGGAAAAAAATTAAATCTTTCCCTTGAAAAGTATTTGATATTCTCATTTTCCAAACAACATAAGAAGAAAAAACAGCTGCAAGGCAAACATTTACAACCAACAGACAAAAATGATTATCAAATAATAGCATTTTCTATTTTTAGAGTTCCATTAATCCAACACAAGTCTATAAATAAAAACCTATTTTAAACATAAAAACCAAATCTTGAATATATCCTCCTTTGGGGTCACTCCCAAGGGAAGCTAAGTTAAACCTTTGTGACCTCACTGAAGTTCACAGTGCATATGTTCTCATCTTTAATGGCAGGCATTTTGCTTTTCATGACTACCTACGAGAGATGGAGCAGTGTTGTATTAACAGTGTGGGAGAATTCATGCTTTCAATGAATTCATGCATTTATCATGATGCTACAGATAACATTGATTTTGATTACCATTTGCCTTTCACAGAGTGGAAGCAAAACTTGCACACAGTGGAAAAATGGGTAACCAGAGGACAGGGGTCAAAGTCATGTACAAACGTTTTGGCTTTCGTGGAAAAATAAAGTGCACTCAGTGAGGCATACAGTACAAATCAATATGAATGTTCTGGGATCTATAAGAAATCAAGTACTCACTTCAAATAAAGGTACATGTCGCTGTAATACTAATGGCACTAATTGATGAATTTTTAAAGGACTGCTTCATACTCCGTGACATGCTTTTGTGAAGTTACCAGCAGTTCATGGGGATTTTGTGACCTCTAAAATACATGCTGGAAGTGTAGTTCAGACCATCACAAGTCCCGTCATAAGCAACAGAAGATGAATAAAGCAAATGGACTTGTGGTGGACTCAACCATACCCAATAAATGCTCCTCCAGAGCATGACATCTACATGCAGGTAATGTGAGTGTAGTTAAACTTTTGTCATTTTTATAACAGGGTGAATTGATAAAGGAAATCTCTGACAGTGACACAGATCCGCCAACAGCAGAGTTTACAATTATAATACATGTACATGTAACATGAAGATGAAAATGACACATTTCATGAGTTGTAAGATGTAAGACTTCAGGTCAGCCTTTACTTATATATTTGACTTCTGACAAAGACACAGGAAGTTCACACCAAACTGCCAGCACTCAAAGGTAAAGGGCCTGCGTGCAACACCACAAAGCTCTACCATGGTACGATATCTTGACAAGCATGCAAGCATGCAATGAACCAATGGAGGCTGCGTCCGTCCATTCCATGCAACAAGTTACCTGGGAAAGCCTGGTGGGCATACAGCATTGAATCTAGAGTGATCTGCTGGTGCAGCAAACGTTGGGAGTTTGTGGAGGAAGAAGCAGCAGCTGTGGCAATATTGCCTGTAAAAATGTCGACAGTAAGGGGTGGCAATAGGGCAGATATGCAGCAGAAAGGAAATGGTTAGCTGCACAGAATGCTCACAAGACAGTGGAAAGCATTAAGTAGTTTGTAAAGACGAATCCACTGACGTTTCACTGGACATTCTTGATAACCCCCTTGAATGTATTGGGTTTCATATGGAGTGACTGTCACGGAACAGTGATTCCATTCAATAGCTGTCACAACGCTTAATGCCATTAAATGGTACCAATGCAAATAACCATTGATGACATTACCATGGTCACTAGAATTATCTACACATGGGCCTTCTAACTTCCCCGAATGGCCTCTCTTTGTACTGTGTAATACTTCAGCATTTGAAAGTCAAAGCAGAGCTTTAATGCATTGCACTACAATATCATGGCTTAACGTGACTACAGTATTTGGTCTTTTAAATTGAATCCATTTGAGCCATTTCATTGTCAGTCACCTCTGGTGCTTGAAGGTTCATTTAAATATTAATCACTACTCCGAAATCGGAGCTGTATGGTTTATATGCGTGGCTGGGGTCTCCGAACTTGGACAAAGGAAACAGGGCCCTGGCATGGCTGTCATTTTTTCCATTTTCAAAATCCTTCAAAAATTCATCACTCCATTTAACGGTCGTTTATAGCCGCACAAAGTAATCTTTAGGCACTACTCTAAGTTGACAGGTGACCTTCATTGACGCCTGAGTATTTCAGCCAGGCCGGCAGCCTTGTAAACAGAGTCCAGATTGTGCGGTGTTACACAACTGTCTTTTGTTCACGAACCTGGCTCAGTGCACTGCTGACCTCTTTTCAATAGAGGCCAGATTAGCATGCAGCAGTGCTATGTGGCTCATCCTTGCAGTGGTGGAGCGCTTTTGTCCCCAGTGGTAATCCGCTTGCTCTCAATGCCCCAAACCCTGGTATACAGTTTCAAAATAACGCTGGATTATCACCACTTCTGAGAGTGAAAAATGCCAGTAATGCTCAGCAGCCTGGTCTTTTGTTCGGAGTACAGTCTCTTGTGACAGGGCCCTGTTTCCTTTGTCCGAGTTCGGACCATATAAACCATTTGTCTCCGATCCCGGAGTCCCCGGCAGGAAGTGGTTAAGCCTTCCCAGCTGCATTTTTATACAATCAATACAACTACAAGAGCTGTGACAATGTTTACCTGCACTTTGAGTGTGGTAAAATGTGCCTGGTGCTGGTCCTGTGATGATGGCATCGCCTGGAGATGTGCTCTGACCGGGGGACCCTTGACGACCTGGGGACACGTGACCTGACCCCAAGGGAAAAGTTGGTGAGGCAAAGCCTGGAGAGGTTGGCCGTTGCTTCCTTGTGAGGTCAGCAAGTGTCAGTTGCTGGTACCCAGGTAAGGTCGGTATCCCTGCTGCGTAATTACCAGCACTGTAGGAGGAACTATGACCAGGACTCGTTGACGAAGAGGTATGCTGGTATTGAGAGAAGCCTGTCTTCTGTCCCAATGGGGAGGTACGCCGTGGTGAGCTGGAAGCTGGCACCACTTGGCCAGGAGATGTAGAGTAAGGAGATGTGCGAATGGAGTGGGGTGATGATCCCTTTGGGGGAGAAGGGGAGGTATAAACTGGTGTGGTTGGGGTCATTTTCCCTGCATGTTTGCCTGTCATGGAACGATCACCTGACTGAGAAATTGACTGGAAATGAGTGTCTTTCCTTGCTTGGTATAAACTGCTGGCACTACTTATGGGCAAGCTGGTTGTTGGTGTCCTAGCAGGCATGGGTGGTGATGTGGAAGTCACTAATAGTGTGTTCCCATGCTGTGCCACATGATGTGATGTTACCAGGGGTTCCCGCTTTGATGAGTGGGTGTTTGGAGGTGACACCAACTTACGAGCTTGTCCAACCAAATCAGTGTTTGATTTGAGGCCAGCAGCTGCAGAGAGGTTTGGGTGGCGTGTAAGTTTCACAACTGGCTGTGACGCTGGGATTGATGCATCAAAACCAGGTGGTACCTGTCCTGCTAGTCTCAGCTTTTCAAAAGCAGACTTCTGCTGAGCCAATTTGGCGCTGGCAGAAAGATTGACCTGCTGTGGCACAGAAGTCTTGTACTTGTGGCTGGAAGTGGGTGTTACTTTAATTACCTCAGGTACTGATGTGGGATTGCTCTTTTCAGTAACAGAGTACATTTTCTCAAATTCCAGTTGGAAGCTTGTTTTTGCTTGCTTACTTGGAGGTTTTGCTTGTGGCATTGGTTCTTGTGTAGTTCTGCCTGAGTTGTGGCTGCTACCTGCAGCAGTAGTTGCTTGAGTTGATATCTTAACGTCATCCCTGTGCGACAGCTGCTCTTTCCTGGTGGAACTGCCTTCAGCTCTCCAAGCACCTTGTGACTGGGTCATCATTGCTGCCTGTCGCAGGATTTCAAGTTGGAGTGCCGTGGCTGAAGGTTCCTCCTGTGGCGGGTTTCTCTTAATTGGTACAACAGCAACTTCTAGTTTGTCCCGGGGATCTGTGGAGTCTTTCTTAGGAATAACCGCTGAGCTATTTTCTGCCTTATCGTGCATGGCCAGCTGCTCAGCAATAAGCAAGTCCACAAAATCCCTGGGGTCTCTCACTCGCTGGGGCACAGTCTCAGAGGTGCTAGCAGTTTTGGACCGACCTACAGACTTGATCTCGGCCTGGTCCTTTGCTGGCACCTGCTGAGGGTCAGTTCCAGTGATGTCAGAGTCCGGTCTGGAGCTGTCACTCGCAAAGTCCAGTATAGTGCGGACATGGGAGTCCTGGCTGCTTTCTGTGGTGATGCTGGGTATGTCAGGCTTATCTTGTTTCTGGCCTAGGTTTGTCTGATCAGCCTGAGTAGCATTTGAGGCTTCCTCAGGAGAAGGCTTAGCTGACGAGGGCTTCTTGGCAGCAGGCAGCATTCTTCTCTGCTTGGGTGCCAGTGAGGTAATGGACCCATGGACTGATCGTGACTCTTTAAAGAGTGATCTGAAAAATGGAGGAGTTATAAAGATTTTCAAGTACCTTGTTATATGATCACAAATGTTTGTGCAAAAAAAAATCCACAAAGCATACAATACACCGTAACGTTTTTTGGCATGCAATCGTAAAAATGTTCAGGTCAATATTGATCATTGCCGTGCACAGCACTTTCATTTCGAAATGTCAGAAAATAAAAGGTTATTTTTCGTTGTTGTATGAACACAATTAGTGTGCAAGCTGATGCATCTTCAACTTACATTCACTTCTGCATCTTCTTTACTTAAGGGCATAGTTGTACACACTTCCAACAGTAACTGTTATAAACTCACCTTGTCTGCATCCAACCAGATGGCCAGAGCGGTTTGATTTCATCCTCCAGGTAAGCTTTGAGGTAGTCTTCGGCTGATTGGGTACGAATCTTGGACAGCTTGTATGTCTGAAGTTTGACACTTACAATAGCACAAAGTAGTTCCCTAGGATATCACACACAAAATTACGACTTGAAAATGTCTATACCAATAAATTAAAGCATTTGTAAGGGGCACAGTATCTGAAAGTAACAGTCATTCAAAGGTGCCAGTAATGGCGCTGGTCATTCTACAGGTCATTGAAGAATAAGTTTACTGTGTACTACTCTGAGCACAAAAATTAAATACAACAATACCGGTTTGAACCATGACTTTCCGAAATGTTATCAATTACTCTTAAACCAGAGTGAGTCAAACTGCAAATTTGAAGTCAGTATCTGGCTCTGAATAGAACTCTTGAGTTGTTCCATCTAAAATAAATCCAGTTTGAATCACTGTAAATCCATAGCATAACATTCAAAGTCAGGTTGGTGAAGTGGTTCTTTCCTCGCCTTCCACCTCTGCGACCCAGGTTTGAATGCAAACTACACGTAGGTCAGCATGTGGATTGGGTTTTCACTCCCTTTCTCATTCCGCAGGTTTTCTCTGGAATAGTCATTCTGGGTGTTCCCTACCACCTCTAAAACTGAACATTTCTTCATTGTCTTCTCTTCACTTCATCCTGTAATTGGCACTAAGGGCACAGTTGGATGAACAGATGTATACATAAAAATAAATAAATGAGCACTTGACATTACCTCATACCCTCACTCCATTGAAACTTCTTGGATGGAACAAGCCCTCTTGTGCTCTTGGACTTTGCTTCATCCTCCACAGTTTGACTTTTGTTCATCATTCTAATGAGACAGAAAACAAATAATTTAACAATTCTTTTATATCAGAATAAAAACCATACATCTCATAAAGCTCCACCTTGTCAAAAAAATCTTCAGAAACTGAAACCACAGTCTTCAGTGCAAAGAAACAATAGCGTGTTTAAAGGCAAAATTAAAGACACATTCGAATGGATGCCTTACGCATTGTATTTGTCCTGCGCAGCAGCCTGACATTCTTGCTGGTATCGCTCTAACTGGGCCGGCATTGCCAAGGCAATTGCTAAACATGAAACAAGGATAGAAGCAATTAAAAAAAAGAAACTACCATTTGTTGCAAATGCAACTGTAAATGTTCAGGAACTAAGTTTATACTTTTGAATTTAGAAGTGAGGACCTCACTTCTAAACAGACTTCTATGCAGAAAAAAGCATGGACCAAATGTATACCTCTCCCAGAACCTGCTGCTGTGCTGAATTTTAAGGGGATGGGCTATATAGGGTTAAATTGATGTTATATGATATTTTTCAACTGTCTCATAAACAATGAGTTGGATTAACCCCTCTTTAAGTCATTAAACCAGCAAAACTTGGCGTTTTTCTGTGTGTTGTTTTCAGTCTTTGCCTAGGCTCTTCGCAAAAATATATTGAAATCGATCAATAAGGGTAGCAGACAAATCTTGGCAAAAATGTGACGTCATATGACGGACTCAACTTTCCAAACAAGAATGCATAGTTCCGGCAAGAAAGTTGATCGGTCCAAGCAAGTGACTCACAATGCACTTTGAAAAAAATTGTCGGAATGGAACACCAACTTTGACAAAGTAGGCTCGCCTATTACATAACCATGGACAAAAACTATCCCCCTAAATCACTGAAACACATAACAAAACAACCAGAGTGGTGAAACAGACAAATCCCAATCCAACGTCAACCAGTTTCATGTCACCTGGTTTTGCCGGTTGTTGATGATAAGACTTGCATGTTTCACTTTAAAACAGGATTTATCAAACAAACCTCAGCGAATACAGCTATTGAATAGCCAATGGAAGGACAATTACGTCTTTTCAGAAAGACAAATTTTATAATGGAGCAGGAAAAAATCATTACCAATCAGTGTGTTTCCAAGGATGGATTTGTACCGGGGACAATTCTTCCATCCTTGGAAATAGTTGTTCATGGTAGCCGCTGCTACATCTGCCTTGAACCAGCCAGCTGGCAAGCTCAGTGGTCGAATGGATAAGCCGTCTGCACTAGTAAGCAGGAGGTCATGGTTTCGAGTCCCACCCCAAGTACGCTTGTGGGTTTTCTCACAAGTGAGTATACATTGTTGTAATACACGTCGGGCAGGGCAAAAATCCAAAATTAGTCAGTGTTTTGTTGTTGATCCTCCGGGTCACTGCCATGCCCATGGCCAACAGCCTCGAGTCGCAAAATCTCTTCCTGAGTGCATTCTGGTTCAAACTGATAAGGCAATATTTCTTGTGCCTCATCAGCTCCTTCAATGTCGCTTTCTTCGTCAAATAAATAAGACAAACATGACAACAGATCGCTGTCAAGATCAGAAAAAGCATCAGCGCTGGAATTATCGTCACTTGAGTCTGACAAGATGGCGCATGCTAACGCTACTGCATTATGTACATGTCGATGTGTCATTGCACAACAGTAAATAGTCGCCGGATAAAGGATTCTGTCCTATGACGTCACGATTCTTGAGAATTTCTTCAGACAACTTTCGGTACCCGACGGCTGTTGTTTAGCTTTTCCTCAAAGACAGAGTGAAATAGGCTCATGAAAACTTTATTTTTAACATATTTCCATGCATTCTGAAATTATCCACATGTGTTTTCTTGTTATATGTATGTGTGTTGTATGTGTCAATGTTTTACAAGAAATCTTCCCAGCACAGCCCATCCCCTTTAAAATGGTCAGGCAATTCTACCGAATGGATTGTGCTTCAGATGCAGGTACTAAGTGTATGAAGCAGAAGATTAAAAGTTCAAGTCCCACCAAAGTGAACTAAGCACACTATACCAACATGATCCCATCAAGTAGGCCAGAGCTTCCTTTTTCCCCTGTCCAGTCTTCTTACCTTCTTTGAGTTTCTGCAGTGGTTCCTTTAGGTTGCTGTCGTGAGCATTCAGGCGGAGCTTCTTGGCTCTCTTCAAGAGCGTCTCCTTGGTGCATGGCAAATTGGAGGCAAGATGGCTGTAGAGGAGGGAACGATTTCCACACGACAATTCCCTGGATTGGTGCTCTATTCTGCAACAGGGAAAACATTGAAAAGAAAATTAAGGCTGGCTTGATGTGTAATCCTTCTTACCAATTCCCGTTTGTGACACTTATGTTCGCATATATGTTAAACACTTGCCTAGTGGTAATATTTTTGAGAATGAATTTCAGAGGAAGAAAACCTGAATACTGGTAAAAATACGAAGGGTAACACCCAAATTAAAAAACAGGGTAACAGGACAAACAAATTACATAAACACTTACTTCAAAAGTAAATTATTTACAGATGCTGTGAAGAACTTGCATTTGCCTTCCACAGATTTCCGAGCAGCCTGGAAAGAAAACAAACTTGTCACACAGGCACGTGGCATGTATTGTGTCATACAAAACTGCTTAATTATGGTAAATGCTAAATTGGTGACAAGGATTTATTTTAGAATACTCCCTTGTCTCTCCTCTCAGATTTTTAAAATAGAATTTAGATCTCATGCTGGCTGTCCTAGATCTTGTATAGAGAACATGAATTCAACAAAAGCAAACTTGTATGAGAACTTTCCTAGAACTGCTACAATTGAATGTATTATATTTTAGTTGAATGGTTGGTGTCTATGCAGAAGGCTTTTTGTTACCTCTTTAATCTTTTCCACATTGTACACAAGTGTCGCTGGTAATCCACTGGGCATAGGAACTTCTTCCTCCGTGTCTACTCCGTCATCACCATGAGGTCCTAGCGACACGGTGCCCTTGTTCTCTCCAGTTGGGGCCTGGGGTAGGTCAGTCCCACCCATGGGTCCCTTCAGTGCCTCCTCCATAGCTGCCGCCATGTCACTGTCCATCTTTAAGTCTGACATGATCAGCCCTAGGTCCAGGGAGGGGTCAATGTCTTTGAGGGAGGCATTGAGGTCTGTCACCTCCACGGTGGCCGGTAGGCCATTGGGTTTTGGTGCCGGGGCATTGGGTGCCAGAAGGCGAGGGGTTGCATTGCTGGTGGCACCCACTGCATTGGGTTTACTGAGGGATGGTCCTGAGATAATTTCTTGCTGTTTGGCCTCCTCCCGTTGTTTCAGCAGCTCCGCAACAGTTGGAATGCGGCTGGATAAACCTTTCTTCTTTCTGCCATGTTTCCTGTTTGACAAAAACAAAATATAAAAGTGCAGTGTCCTCTTTTGATTTCTTTCCTGCGCATTCTTCAGGTACGGTACTCTTTGAAATGCAACAAGCCAAAAAGTTTTCTTTTCAATGGTCTCTTAATATATTTCCTCCAAATTACTCCATTATCTTTTATCATCTTAAATATTTGCTCTTCAGTCCATAATATGGCACCGTCAGCTATTCCTAGATCTAGGCAACCGGTCAGCAAATATTTTTGAACAACAGTGAATGTCCATGCACAGCTTTACCCAAATTGTCTTTCCAGCTGTTTCCGCATCTTCTTCGCAGCTTTGTCAGACGAGGAGGATAAATTCCTTTTCCGCTTGCCTTCCTTTCTTTCTCCATCTGATGTTTTGCGAAGTTTCTTCTGTAAAATTAAATGAAAAGACAAAAAAGCTTGTTCTTTCTGGAATTATTTTGACAAAGACATTGAGATGATTCACAACTTAAAATAACTCTCCATGCTTGAGACTGACATTGCTAAGTATAGGGATTTATCATTGTGACTGGCAACATCCTGCTGTGGAACCCCCTAATTTTAGTCTTGATAAATTAAGCACCAGTCCATGGAAAAATAAGAACACATTTCAAACTGGACAAGCAGAGTTCGGATGTTATAATAAAAGAACCCACAACTGCAGTAATGTATTTCCTGCAGGACATGAATTTTTTTCTTTTGCAAATGAGCACAAATGTCTCTCTACCTTTGGTGTTTTCCTCCTGCGTGTCATATCTTGGAAGTCATTGCTATTTTCGGAGTCAGATCTCTCTCTGAATTGTAACTGTCCCTGGTTGATGTAGAACCCTCCAAACTGGGTTGTCAAGACATCTGGGACCAGTTCGTCATACTGGAATCATTTGAATACAGAAAAATAAACATTCTGAACTTCACTGATTGGTTATAACAAATAAGTGACTGTCTAAAAGATGATCTTTCTGATTGTTTTGGATTTGGAGCTTTCAAGTTTTGGCAATTTCACTCAGATCAGTAAAGGATGTAATACTGAGTACATACACATTCTGAGTTGTCCACAAATGGGTCAGTCTCGTCATATCCCATACCCACGTCTATCAGGTCATCAATACATGCATTTCTCTTCTTCCTCCCTTTCTTTGGAGCCTGGAATTCAAAAGGAAAATTTGTTTTAAGACAAGAAGCATAGAATAAGTTTAATATTTACATGCATTTTTGTAAGTACAAAAAATAAATCATTAACCTGAAGAAGTATTTTCAAAAAGGCAATCTTGCCTCAAGGTTATATGACATTGTCAAAGAAAATTCATTCCATACCAAAATTTGCTACTCTCAGACAAAATATTTATGATTGAAATTCACTACAAAAGTCTGAATACTTGGTACTGTGCATTTTAACTTGACACAGTCTCTGCTTATTGCAGGGCCATGTTGTTTGATTTTGGCAAATGCTGTAGACCCACTGTCAAATTAATGTGGGCTTAAACAATTACCTGTGGCATTTGGACAATTGCAATGACATGGGCTAATACCTTGTTGTACATTCCAGAAAAAAATAAGCTTGAAAGATCAAATTACATCCCCTAAAAAATACAAAATTCCCTTTAATCCTCACATATTTCTCCTCCAATTTCTTAGCAATAGACTCCAGGCCATCCATGTCCTCCTCATCCAGTTCATTGAATGACTTCTGAACGCCATTTCCATTGTTTCCCTGCTGTACGTACAGAACGGAGAAAACAAGATTCACAAAAAATGTTAAATCCTTAAAAGGAACATGCAACTTGCATGGAACAGAACCTTGTGTGCATGCAAGCAACACGACAGAAGAAAAGGATGCAGTCAACATAGGTGATCATGAGACTTACATGTACATCACACAATGTAAAATTGTAAGATCTGCACTGCTTGTTATAAATACATGTATTTGTATAGTCATAGGAGCTTAATAATAAAACCATATTTAAAAAACACTATACATTACATCCATGATTTTCAATCTTAAAAGAGACCTTAAAAGGTTAATATGGTAAGCTCGGGTACATAGAGGAATAAAAAACACAAAAAACAATGAAAAATCTCATTCAGAATTGAAGTTGCAAAGTAAAACACATAACATTCAGCAAAACAATTAACACTCCCCAAAAGGTCACCTAGTCTTGACTGTCACAAACCCTGCATGAGTTGGTAAATTAAAAAAAAAATCTATGCAAAACACTTGCCATAAACTGAGAAAGAGGGAATCTGTAACTGAAGTTGAAAACATTAGGACATTCTTGACAAGTAGAGGAAATCCCATTTCGTCCATATAGCTCTGACAAGATGCAAGATACCTGATGTTTAAGCATTTACTAATCATACATACTCCATGGTCATCCCCTTGCACCAACAAACCAACCTACTTTTTAACCCTGCTGCGTACAACGCAAAAAGTCTCACACTGCCAACCGAGTAACAAGACTTTCTACGCGCGTGGCCACCGCACCCATTTAACCCAATTACAAGGTCACCGTTAATGACGCCGCACTCACAAAACAATGGAATTTCACCCCAAACCCTGATCCCTACACGCACCTAAACCCACACGAGCAACGTACACACAACGCACCGCCCATTGTACGTATTCATCCCCAACAATCCCTGCAGTCTCACACAGCATAAATCCACGCCCCAATGCACTCACCTCGACCTCCCGAGGTCACACTTCAGTGAACATCAGTAATTAAAAATGTTACGTAACAATAGTAAAACCTAAACGATTCAAGGCAAATGGCTGGATAAATTATCATTTTGTGAAATCGTCAAGTTTGAGGGTCCGCTTCAATATTACTAATCCTAACACTCACGGATCTTTATCGATGTCACGTGAACAATAAAATAATAATCAACATTTACATTTCATTAGTTTAGTAAAAATATGCAAATTTCTAGCTTTCGAAAATGATGTTATTTCATAAAACACACACAAAAGCAGCAACTTTATTGGTGTTCATTTTTCACAAGAGGAATCTAAGTCAGCTTGTTCCAAACTTCCCACGCAAATTCGCCGGTCAAACCCGCGTCGACTGACATGACCACAAATTTCCATTCAAAAAGCCAGAAAACCCCCAACTTTGTGCATGACCTTCACGTGAATCAAAGATAACCTGCCGAATTTCTCCATCAAAACGGTTCAAAACATACACCTAAAATGAAAAGAAGACGGCTCCACTTCAGAAACAGAAACCGACGGAAATATTGTTAAGTCTCCGAGTTCGCGGGCTTCAAACAAAATTCCTAGTAGTCTGTTCACTCAACGTGGTTTGTCACACAACCGCAATGCGGTTACAGGAATTATTCACATACGCAAATTGTTCCATCAAACATGTCCGCCAAATGTAACACAATCGACCCGGATGATAAAATGCTTCAATTTTTTCTGCCCAATAATAAAATGCTCTCTTTTCCCCTCGTCTTCCACCGACCACCTTCTGTCCAGTAATTCTTTTGATGCCCGGCTTGGACGCGCGGGCTTACCAGCGCTCAAGCAAGACGGTCCCTGTTATGCAAATCATGAACCTCAACCACATGGGCATTTTCCGACTGTTTTCTTCCATAGGCAACGCCCGCGTTAAAAGAAACGGCAGCCGAAAAGGGCTGGAAAAGCAAAGATGGCGTCGGGCCTGAAATCTAATTGTCTTCTGTGATGTTTATACAGTTCTTGCACATATCTGTCACCAACAAAAAAGCTTAAAACTACAGCTACCCATTCCCGTTCAAACACCTAAAGACGGTGCATTCCGATTGCATTAACATCAAGTACAATAGCGGCTGGGGTCAAGACGACGCACCTAGTTGTTTAAAACGGTCGGGAAAAGCTGTAAAATCCGTGAAAAGTGGGGAAACTTCGTAGGAACATAGAACAGATGTTGTTCTGTCGATATGCACCATTTTGGAAGGGGAATGGAAACCATAGGATTACTTACCACGGCATTTTTAACGAGCTGGCTATACGAAAACACGGAGCAGGTTTTATCGCTAGGCTCTTTGAGGGTCAAATCGAACCGCAAAGACGGCGCCGTTTCCTTCTCTTTCTTCAGAGGAAAAAGTGGTCCTACCGACGACGGTATAATCCTTCTTCGTTCTGCCATCGTTTTACACCTCAGTCGAAGACGAAATGCGTCTTTTCCGGGCAAAAACTGCCAAAATCCGCGTTCTACCTTCCTACGTCCGTCGCCATTTTGACCATGTCGACTGCAGCTCGCGCATGCGCTGAAGGCTAAACTGGTGACGCGGGAAACTTGATTGCCTAGGCGTCTAACTTGCTTCTTGCATTATGACAGCATTATTTCCAAGATTTTCCGGGAAATACAAGAAATATTTCTCTGAATAATATTAAAATGGGAAATGTTTCACAACAAACCCAGTTTTAATGGAAATGATTAAAAAAATGAACAACCAAAGCCAAAGAAACAAGTGGACTCTTTCCAGGTTATGATTAATCATGAATACCTAATTTTATTTGTTTTTTTGGATTTTTCTTTCTGATTTAGGGGGGGGGTATGTTTGCAAACCTACATAAAACCCCTTGGACTAAAAGATTCCATTATCTCACTAAATCTCGTCTTGTCAAAACCACACTAATTCAAGCAATTATTTGTTTCATATCTAACACAAGGGTAGAGGCTCCCAAAATAGGGCACAAGATCAACTGATCACCTCTCTTCTAAAAGATCTCTTGGCATGAAAATAAAGTGCACAACTTTTTCCACACACAGGGACCTACAGGCCCAGCTGGCATTCCATTTTTTTTTAGGTGAACACATTTTCGTAACTCCGTACAGTTGTTCGTACTTAATCAGAATGGTTCAGAAGTTAACTTGGTGGTTAGAGGTATCGCTAAAAAGTCTTGTGATATATAAATATGCAGCAGAACAAAAAAAATAAACAAAATGGAAACACAACCACAACACGACATCTTTATGATATTTATGATATATATCTTTTATTTATTTTTAAACATTTAAACTGACTTGTCTAAACAAATCCATTAAGGACAATTAATATGATTATATTAATTAAGGTGCAGATTAACTCGAACTCATAAATCAATATGAAACTAAAAAAGCAGTTTGTTGAGGGCACAGGAAAAAAGATTCCATGTTGTCATTCTCAAGATTAAAATTGCCTTTTCAGTGATGACACCATAAACAGCATGACAATAACCGGAGATTAAGATTAAACAAAGCAAATGAATGGCCATGCAAAAGTGTCATGATTTTATCTGAGATTTGAAATACATATCCGACGTAATTCACAATTTGAGTATACTGTGATTTGCAATGACGGAAAAAATAAAACCAGCAACAGCTCCGAAAAAAAGAAAGAAAAATAACACATACAGAATACAAATGTACACGTACACTGTAATACACTCTGTACCTCTAACCGTTCCATAACTTATAATGAAATAAACTGCAATTAGAAAAAAATTATTAACACCACTCACTGAATTCTTCTAGTTTTACAACTCATGATATTTTAAGTTTGATAAAATCTTACCCTTTGTTAAACTAGATAGCATCCATGATCCAAGGACTGTATCTGATATCCTAGAAAAAGTGAAAATACTAAACAAAAAATTCTAATGCCTCAAACTGAAAAAAGATATTTCAAGGCTTTAAGAAACTCCCTAATTTTTTTTGGTTACTGATGGGCCTTCTGTGACCACACAGTTCATGGAAATTTTGTGCAAATAGGAAAACTATGCGTAGTAGAGTGTGTTCATTTGCTCATGCCCGCTGTGTTGGAGACAAGACTGTGAACATAAATAGAACCACTTTTCAATACAGAAACTTGTGCAGAGACACAAATGACTACAGGCATATAAAACTGAGGTAACTTGAATTTGAGCAAGCAATTTTGAAGTAAAATATTTCTATGCATGATATCATGGTGCAAATGCGATGGACCCATTTGGACATACTTGTGAGGCCATTTTACAAATCTGCCTAACCCAGTGCCCTTAAATCGTAGGCCGTGAGTTTAAGTAACAAGTGAATTTTGTTCCTTCCTATTAGGTTTGTCAAACAGAAATTGTTGCTTTCTTGGAGAAATCTTGACTTAAAAGCCGCATGATGTCTGCGTGTTTCATGGATGCGTTATTCCTCTTCATGGACCCGTAGTTCTCCTTCACAAACAAGGCAAACTTGTTGGGAGTTCGTGCCTTGGACACTTTTCCGTCTTTGTTGAGCGAGGGCAGAAGCACCAGGTTCCCTTTGCAGTACGTGCAGCAGTATTTGTCTGTGTTGATGGATTTGGAGTGACGTCCAATTCTGTTGGGGTTAAAAGCATAAAAAGATAAGGTTTTCACGTAGATGATGCAGTATTGCCTTATCTTGCCTTGTATCCTGCAAATCCTGTTTAAACACAGATAAAAATTGTTTACAAGATCTTGTAAAATTTTGGGTATTTTATTTATTAAATACTCCTTTACACATTGTTATTTTATGGCATGTTTTCCAAAGTTTACATCAAGTGACTTTCACTCAATCTTTTCCAATGTCTGAATGGAAACATTGTTTATGCAAGATATTTGTTTCAGCAAATTTTAGCAATAACATATAACACTTCAACAATACTCGGAAACAACCCCACATGAACACAGGTCTTCTCAAACGATTAGGCCATACTGTGTTATATGCATTTTAACACAGTGTAATAAGCATCATAATGTATTATAGCACACAGCTGCCAGAGTTTACTTTCAACTTACGTTGTTTTGCATCGGACACACTGGTACTTGTATTTGGTGGTGATCTCGTAGCTGTGACAACGTTTAATGATTGGAAGGGATGGATGGGCGTGATTGGCTTTAGCTGCCCTGAATGATCCATAAGAAAAGGAAGTGGACAAGTAGATTAAACCACTGAGAACCTGGGATGCACAATTCATTTTTAACCATTCAAACTTGAGATACTTTGGAAATGAGCCAATTATTAAGTATAACACATCAGACCATACTGAGACATGAACCAAAAATATACAACTCTGTTCCAGTGCTATACCAACAACCAGGGAAATATAGTCAGTTGACTTAAAACAATAATTATAATTGTAGTGGGACTTGAACCCGATACCCCCAGTCTACTGCATGAGTGCTCCATCATGCTCACACAAGAAAAGAGAGATTAGTAGACCGCAGACAAGCACTGCAGTGACACTTGAATGCGGTACAACTGGCATACAGCATAAGTGATCCACAACACTGTCACAAAGAATAACTTCGTGTGGCTATAAACGACCGTTAAATGAAATGATGAATTTGAAGGATTTTGAAAATGGAAAAAATGATAGTTATGCCGGTCCAGCATCATCAACATGAAAAATGCCCCGGCATGAAGTGGTTAAGGGTAACAGAAATTGAAAACATTTAGTTCACATGAAGTATTTTAACATAACAACAAATATGTAACCATTTCAAAACATCGTAAATTTCATGTTTACATAATTAAATGTGACCCTAAAATGAATAAAAAGATCCTGCATTTCCCACCCACAAAAAATCCCTTTTGGCCATTTGCACTCACGCTGACTGGATGACGTCATCCCCAGAACGCTGATACATGTATGTATGGTGTACATGTACATTGTGCACAGTACATGCAGTATCGCACGCTTGTAATAGACCATGTTACGTGTTTATGTTTTTGAAATGGTTACGTATCTACTGTTATTTTGAAATACTTCACGTGAACTAAATGTTTTCAATTTCTGTTACCCTTCCATGCACTGGCGTACTTTCATAGGAATTATTTTTCTTTGCAAGTACTTACCAGTATTTCCAGAATCGCCCATGTCCATCATTGACTCCATTGATCATCCAACAAGCGGCATGGCACAGCTCATGGATTAATGTATCGCGGAGTCTCTCTGCCAATGAGCAACCATACTGAGTGAACACACAATGTAAAGATTCTCCACAGAGAATTACCAAATGAAACTTCATAATCAAATATACCAGTTCTGCATCAAGATACAGTTGACACATTTCATAACAAGGTTCTTCGGAATTTAAAGGTTACATTGTTATAACCAGGAACCATGTCAGGAAATGGAGAAAGAAGAACATAAAAGAGCAGGGACCTAAAATTGTCTTTTGTATGCTGGATATTGCATTAATAGTGCTTAATATCAGAGTTTCACTGCAATGAGACATGTCATCTGGGTTTTTATCATAAAGCCAACTACTGTAGTTTTCACAAATTTAGCATAAAGTTCTATTTACCTGGTCAAGCTGCAAAACATATCACTCATAACATAATGACTTGAAATGTATTTGAAATAATCTTCAAATAGTTCTGCTGAGTGGAAGACTATTTCATGCAGCTTGGCCAACATTAGTCTTATGCTGTTAGATAAACTAGTGTGTGAAGTCTATACAACCTTTCAAATATGAAACTGACAAACAGACCTTAAAACAGCCATGCTTACCGGCAGTGTCACAGACTTTCTCAGACAACTCAATGCGAGCACTACACAGCCCGCCAACTTTAGTCTTGGTGTAGTAACAGAAGCCGGCTGTCTTGCGCATGCGATTGTTCCACTTGATGCTGAAGTCTGATGGTAGCTGAAATCAGGGGAAAATCAAATGACAAATGTGTAAATAAAAAATGGATACTAGTTGATAAAATGGTTAGACCCCAAGATATTGGATATTAAATTAACTATAAGGCAAAGAAGAGTCTAATTGTAATAGTCCCTATTTTGAATAAGAACCTGATCAAGCCTGAAAGCAAATGAAATGTAACATTCACAGAAGACAGTAGGGCTGTGCTGAATATCCAAATAACCAAATATTCGATTGATTGTCGAATATTCAAATATTTTTTTCCGAATTTTAATATTCGAATGCAAAATTCATGAAAAGGAAAGGAAAATTTTCTTTTGTTTTAAATGAGAAAAATTGCCCTACGGAGGCTTGTTTCAAGCAGATTCAAATGAAAAGCGTCAGAAATCTTAAGATGATTTAAAAAGTAAATTATTCATTAAACAATTTAAAACAACAGAAATTGTCGACAGGGCAAGAAGTCTTGTTCATCTCTTAAATCTTGCTAAATCAAGGCTGGAGATACTCCTAGATGTGAGAAGCTATTATATTGATCATAATGTATAATTGTGTTATTGCAACAGATTTTGTATACGGTTTGTTCATCAACAATCTGCCGGTCAGTACGACCAAATATTCGATCAAATTGCAGGTCGAATATTTGAATAATGAATTATTCAAATTGACTCAACCCTAGAGGCAGCAAAGTGATGGCAGACACACAGTCTCACTTTTCAAAAAGATATTTAAATTTACAGACTTTTACTGAATGAAATTTAAGAATTGGAAAAAAGAAAGAACATGGGCTGCCAAGCACATGCTTAATAAAATCCAACTGACAACATGTCAAGTCACAGCACCAGTTTTTATTTCAATGCACATATGTTCAACACTTGAATATTTTGCTCAACATAGATCAATTGGCAAAAATCTCAATACTCGGCAACATTTTCAGTAATCAAAACTTACCTTATTGTCAAACACAGTTTTATTGAACAAGATGAACAGCTTCCTCGTTAAAACATCTCTGTGATTCTTGAAGTCGTTGACGTAGGGGGAGGAGGAATGGCAGCCATCTTTGGGGGTGGACAGAGAAAACAGGAAGTCTGTCTTACTGCTGGTGGGTGTGTACCTTTCCTGATTGACGGCATGTGTCAACTTTTTTGATGACAAGACTAGAAAAAGAGATACAGAATTTTTTTCAAAAGCCATATAAAAATTTTGAGGGTGAAAAGCAGTTGTCTGTGGGGATATCCAAATCTGTCTCAGCAACGTAATGGACTGATGAAACTGGTTGTCCACAGAGAAACCTGACTGAATATGTCATACATTAAATCTAAGCATTGTAAAATGCCAACGGCAACAAAACAGTCAACAACATGTGCTCCAGTGACAGTGTGTAATCTCCATATCGGTCACTGGGCATATTGAATTGGCCCTAGTAGGTAATGCTGCCATATCTTTTTTGCTCCTTGTATTATTCAGCTCCTCATAACTTCAGAACTGCATTGATGGTTGACTTTCTTGTCCATGTACATGCACTCACTGCTCGGTTTGGGGACTCTCACTACAGGCGGTTTGGGAGTGGCAAAGACACTGTCGTCGGCATCATCACTATCACTGAACTCTGGAAGGCGATATTTCTGGGGAGTAGATGATGGCTTTGTATCCAGTTCTTTCTGAAATGTTAGAAATTGAAAACTTCAATCAGTGAGATGTTGCTGTTCATCAATGTAGCCATCTGACAAATGTAACATTCATCTTTTGAAACAAACTAGATAGTTTTATTACACTTATTAAATTTTGTGTATAAATATACGTGAATTTTTTTAGGGTACCCCCCATTCAGAAAGTATATGCACTTTTTTTCAACAAAAATGACAGGTGTGAAGGTTGAGGTTGGGGTAGAGAGCATTACTTTTCAGGTCCCATGGGGGTAAGCAAATGTCTGTCCCCTTCCTTTTTAGGAAAATGGCCTTAGCCAAAATAATCAGAAAGGCGTCTATGATTCATGAATAAATAATAGAAACAGGCACTAGTGCCACAACTCACAACTGGTTTTTTTTTTGTTAGGAGAAAATAGAGAATACGAGGGGAACCCTTGCTCTATGTGTGTAGTGGATAAACCCTTGTGCAAGCCAAACCAATGCATGTTTTCTCCTTAATGACGCAATCTACATTCAGAATTCTCATCTTGGCACAAACAGAAAAAAATCTCTTTTAAGCTTGTTATAGTTGAGCTCTTAAGATTAATGGATGCTTCCATATTTATTTGACCAAATAAAATCAGAGAAAACATGTTTCCTTAGAGGTGCTCTCTAACCCCTTCTTGACGGGAATTTCTTTTGGCCACGAAGGCCACCTGCCAAACCGCAAATTCTCGGTTTGTGGCCCAGCGTTCTCTGCATGCTTTGAATTACACGGTG